GCCCCACCTGCCCGGCGGCTCTGTCAAACCAAAGACCACGTCGCCCGAGAAGGCCCACCGGGTCACCTCCCCCTCCAGCGGGTATTCCAGCCAGTCCAACACGCCCACCGCGCTCACCCCCGTGCCTGTGTTTTTAAAGTCCATGTCGCCCGCCAATGGGAAGGGCAAGCCCAAGCCCAAGGTTCCAGAGAGGAAGTCCTCCCTGGTGTCTTCGGTCTCCATCTCCTCGTCGTCCACGTCCCTGTCCTCTAACACGTCCACGGAGGGAGGCGGGACGGTGAGGAGGCTGGACTCGGCGCCGGCCTCTCTGCCTGCTGCCCCTTCTCTCCCCTCTCCTTCGTCTCCATGTCCCGCGGACACGTCTCCTTTCCTCCCTCCTCCGCCGCCTTCAGCAGACTCCCCCGAGGGCCCTCTGCCTCGGTCTCCCCTGTTCCCCCCTCCACCGCCAGAGGTTCTCACTCCCTTCTGTTCTCCAGATGCAGGCTTTCCTCCTCCCCCCACCGCTCGGAGCCCCCTTCTGGGCTCACCTGCCTCGGTGCTACCCCCTCCACCGTCTTTACCCTCCTCGGTCCCTCCTCCTGCCCCACCACTCGACCCCAAATTGATGAAAGATGCCAGGCCTTCATTCAAAAAGTCTAGCCAGCCAACCTCCCCCCAGGAGGCCTGCAGACCGCCGGGGACCATGGAGGAGGGCGGCAGGCCTCCCCTGCCCCTGATCACCGCCGAGGCCCTGCAGACGGTGCAGCTCAGGCCGGTGAGAAGGAACTCAGGAACCCAGGGAGCGCCGCTATCTGAACCAGCATCTCAGGAAAAACGAACTCCGCCGGTGCCCCAGTATCATTTAAAGCCATCTGCCTTGCTGAAATCCCGAAATAGCATAAATGAAATGGAGAGTGAAAGCCAGCCTGCCTCCGTGACAAGCCCGCTTCCGACTCCTGCCAAGATCATGAGTCAGGGTCACCAGGACAGTGCAGCCGAGCGTGGCCGCCCGAGCCGCAGCCCGGACAGTGCCGGGGAGGCGGAGGCCGGGCCGGGCCCCGGGACTGCCCCGCTCCAGAGAGCCCCCGGACCTTCGCCCAGCAAGAAGCCACCCCCCATTTCCAAGAAGCCCAAACTGTTCCTGGTGGTGCCACCTCCGCAGAGAGATTTCACAGTGGAGCCAGCAGAGAACGTGAGTGGAGCGGTGCCCAGCCCCACGAGGGGAGAGGCCAACGAGACTGGTGCAGCCCCGGCTGGTTCTGATGAGACCGACTCCTCCGGCAGCTCGGTTCTTGAGGGAGGAGCTGCAGGATCCACGTCCCCAGGCAGAAGGGAAGCCAATGTCCCCATGGTGCAGCCCAGTGCCTCGCCAGCCCCCAAGCAGGAGGAGCCAGGCACCGAGAACAGCGTGGACCGCGGGGGCCATGCGGAGGAGCGCTGCCCGGCTCTGCAGGACCCAGGGCGTGAGTCTGGTTTTCTCCCTTGTTCCTCTCCGACCATGTGCAGCCGAGGCAGACAGGGCTGGTGCGTGTGCACGTTCGAGCCAGCAGTCGGTTTCCTGCGCTGCCTCACACTTAGGTTACTAGCTTGGCATTGTGTGAAATGTTAAAAAAATCTAGATCTAAGGGTAGAGCTTACAGAAGGACAGAGAATAGAGGGGTGGAGGGGGTGGTGGTCTGCAGCAGGCTGGGTATTAAATAGCACTGAGTACTCTCCCTTCCGGAGAGCCACAAAGTAATGTTACAACACGATTTAAGAGCTTCATTGGGAGATCTAGACTTGAACACAAAAGAAAGAGCTTTGGCTAGCATGCTCCCCGTATTTATAAAATATCAAACCCCATTGCCCGTCCCTGTGGTTCTCACGTTGTCAGGAATGACAGGGAAGCGTACTGGGAGCTTGGCGAAAGACTGAAATTCAAGTCACTTGTGAATCTTGTGTTTGCTGCTTGCTTCTCCATAGCCCGGGTGCCGGAGCCGGACGCGGCTGGCTCTTCCCCAGAGGTCTTTGACTTCCTTAAGGAAGAAGGGAGTGATGAGGTGATGACCCCCAGTAGACCCCGGACCACAGAAGACCTCTTCGCAGCTATTCACAGGTACCCAAAACTCCTCATATTTCCTCCTCCTTTGTGAGTCCCCCTCTTCCAAATGGTTCCTCAATTTATATTTCTTTCTTGAGGTTTCTTCTATCACCCAATTAGGTTTCATTAACTGGATTATTTTCATTAACTTGATTTATTTTCATGTGTTTCTATATTTTTATTTCCTCGGACTCCAGTTTCTGTTTTACTGTGTTCCACTAATTTTTATGATGACAGGGGGATCAGAGGCTCGGTGTGATGCCTCTGGTCAGCGCTGCTCTTGCTGGCCAGGAATGCAATGTGTCAGTCATATGACAGGGTATTTAGGAGTTAGGTTAGAGCAGCCCTGGTCCAGTCCAGGGGAGGAAGGCTGTGTTCTGTGGACGTGAGATGCACAGACTAGCGCTACAGGACAGGAACTTTATAATGGCACAGCATTGTTGTTTATTTTACAGAAAAACCAGGAATTTATAGTGCAATTTCTTCGGCTGCTTACATGTTTCAATAAGAGAGTACATCTTTTTTAAGCAGGAGCAAAAGGAATTAAATCTATTTGCTTTACTGTATGCTGCTAGTGCCACCTACTGGCATCAGAGATTACTGGGTTTGAAAAAATAAAGAATAAATATTTTTAAAAGAACTGCCTGTACTATTATACTTTTCAGATGTGGTCACCTTGAGTGAATAGGACTTAACACTAAAGTTTTATTTATTGCCTCATTTTTCTGGTTGTAAACAGCCAAGTACTCTCACAACAGTGACATTGTAAAAACTATTAAGATTGTATATGTGCAAGTACTTCCTATATAAAACCTTTGCTTCTTCCTAGACTTCTTCACCACAGTATTTTCAGATCACTCTTACACATGCCCTTATCCTTCCAAAGTCTTGTATTGCCCTGAATCAAGGTTCCTTTTTTTCCCTCCGGAAACAAAAAATCCTGATTGTGGGACTAACCTTGTGTATATGACCATTTTCCCGATTCTTGGAATATAACAAAAACTATTGCATGTGATGAAAAGCATAGGGCTGTCCCTCCCTGAAATTCCTCATGCAACACAAACACCTAATTTGGGAGAGAGAGAAAACAAGCTGGCAAATTAAGGTGTTTGTGAAGAATTACATTTTTTACCTCTTGGCTCTAGTATTGGTATAATATTCCAAAAGACCCCACAGACTGTTCCTTTAACATTCTGTTCCACAGACTGTTCCTTGCCTGACTGTTCTCTTTGATATCGTGAGGAATAAAAAGGTAGCTATTTACCAAATTATTTCTCGAAACGGGGAAACGAACAATGATGCAATCTTTGAAATCAACTTTGATGGCACGTCTAGAGGCTTACACAGCTGTTTCTAAGACTAACCATGCTAGATACATAATAAGCACTCAATAAATATTTTCTCAATTAAATGAAACCAATTGGTATTTAGCTGTTTGGAAGTTGTTCCAAGACCCGACGGCTTTCATTTAGTATGGAATGCACTGGGTTGCTAACTGTGCAGGCGTATGTATTTATAACAGCAGTCCGCAAGGAAGATGTGCTGCTTGGCCGCTCTGTGTACTAAATACTTGGTCTCAGTGAGAACCCAACTGTTGTGGGCCCAAATTACAACATGCTTTTCCTAAAAATATGCCAGAGATCTTCTCTATGTTTTATTTTAGCAACCTTCTTGAGGCCCTGAAAAATTTGAGGTTTCTCCTACTAGAGAATTATATCTAGAGCGTAATTATGTCTACAGCAGATGTAGGAATTGGCCTCTCTGAATTATCCTGTGTGCGCATGGTAGCCGTAAAGGCCACGTAGGAGGGGATTGTAAAGAGAAAGCCAAGGACATGTGCTGGTTTTTATTTTAACACAGACAGTATATTAGCAGACATAATCCAAATCCACCTAAAGTTTGTGATTTTTAGGGCTTTATTTTATATCCCCTTTAGTACCTAAGCTAATAGTTCAAAGTAAAGACTATCTAAATTGAAACACAGCTTTCAAGTTTGAGAATGCAAATAAATTCCCTTCAGATTGGAAGCCAGATGGAACATGTAGCACACCAGTTGAGGTGTGAAATTTTTATATTCATTGAAGTAATTAGTTTTCAAGCAGAGTTAACTGTTTAAGCACCTTTTACAGCCATCTTCTTTAAAAATACACACACAATATAGAAGCAGAGAATTCAAATGTTTAGACTTAATTCTCATTTGAGAGGACAGCTGTTCTTGAAAAACAACACTACTTTTTATAAATTTCCATCCCTTCTCTTAATTCTGAATCTGCAGTTAAAGGCCATAGCTTTAATCAAGGATCGCTGTGGGTTGTTGTGTGGCACTCGGCACATCCTCTTCGTTGAAAAACCAAACAAAAAAATGACAATCACAAACCAGTACCTGCAAAAATGGGGTGGGCAAAGCTGCTTTTGGAGGGGCAACCTGTAGAAATTGTGAAGCCATGTGCTATAAATGGAAAAATACTCCATCAGGTCCCAGTTCTTGTATTCAGCCGTGTGACTTCACTCTTCAGACCTCAGGCACCTTCTTTGGTCAGACCAAACCGTCTGAAGTCCTTTCCAGCTCTACAATTCTGAGATGTTAGTATTTCTACGGTTTCTGTCCGTCGCTCATTAACTTACTCTAGAACAGCGGTTCTCAACCTGTGGGTCGCGACCCCTTTGGGGGTCGAACGACCCTTTCACAGGGGTCGCCTAAGACCATCGGAAAACACATATATAATTACATACTGTTTTTGTGATTAATCACTATGCTTTAATTATATTCAATTTGTAACAATGAAATTGGGGGTCACCACAACATGAGGAACTGTATTAAAGGGTCTCAGCATTAGGAAGGTTGAGAACCACTGCTCTAGAACATTGCTTTTATTGACAGCTGAGCAGGACCATTGAACCTAGATATCATAGGCAGGCTCTGCATCCCAAAGGGGCTGGTGCCACATCAGGTCTGGCCACCTTTCAGCCTCTGAATTTCGTCCTTACTACTTCCTGTTTTCTACTTTGGTGGCTCCTTTTTGGCCAGAAGCAGGGAGAGGACCCTGGGAGCATCAAACCCAGGACAGCCATCATGGCCCACCCTCCCCCATGCCTTGCTGTGCAGGTCACATGAAAACAGCACTGAAGCCTGACCTAGAGGCAGGAAGGGAAATTATATTTTCCTAAGTGACACTCAAAGGTTTATTAAGCACCTTCTCTGTGCCTGACATTTTATGGCTGATATTGCATCCATCTTGATCACTAAATTATGTGCTATCTGCTGTTATTCCCCTTTTCCATATAGGAAACAGGATCAGAAATTTTAAGTTGCCCAAGGTAACTGAACAATGTCGCTTTAAGCACTGGGAGTGCACCCAGGTCCATGTGACTCCACAGATTCTTTATCTCATGGAATCCTCACAAACCTGTGAGGCTGATATCATCATCCCCATTTTACAAGTATGCACACCGAGGTGCGGGTATAGATGAGTAATAGCCTGAGGTCACACAGCTAGAGGTTGGTAGTGCTCAGGTTCAACCCTTGATCTGTGTGTACAGATAGCATCCTCTCAACCTTTCCCTGCTGCATATTCTAGAATTTTATAGCAGAAAAATAAATATTCCTGTATCTTTATTCATTAGATGTACCACGTTTCCTTAAAGCAAGTCCACCTGTACTTGGCTAACGGATTCCTGGCACACTGAGGTGTTGTTATGAAAAGACCAGCAAGGGGCCACTTGGCTCATCTGCTTTATTATCTCTGACTCACTCTCAGCAGAAAACACATGGAACAGGGAGGTTCTTAGCGACTGAGGGCAAGAAATACCTACAGGAAACATTTCACTTTCCCTGAAGGCCCCTCCTCTCTCATACTCTCCCCACAGCCCCACATTTTCCTGATCAGCTAGAAGTTCTCTGACATGAGTCTCGAAACAGGACATGGCGTGGGAGGTTCGCTTTTGTTTTCTGGACCGTTGGACTTCTAGGAGTTGACATATGGCCCAGTAAGAGCCAAGGAAGACTGGTTTTATGTCAAACTCTTGTAGAATTGTTCTAGAACCTGGGTAGGGGCCCTTCTCGGTAGAGGGGGTAGGGTATTCTGGAAATTGGCTGTTAGGCCTTTTCATTGCCAGCACCATGAAATCCAGTCAGGATCAGTCCAATGTAGGAGAATTAAATTAGAAATGACAGTTATTAAAAACTTTAGTAATGGTCCTATCCAGTTATTATGCCTGAGATTTGTTTCAAAATAATCCAGTGAGAGTGGAGTTTAAAGATGAGAGGCCATAAGTTAATAATGATAGCTGGGTCATGGGCACACATGGTAAATACAATGAACTATTCTTGTGCATGGGTGTGTGGAAGTTTACATAGATGGTGACCTGAATGTGCAGTAAGATAAGCATGGTGGTTGTGGCTGACATCCAGTGGCCCATTTGGAATTAACCTTTATCTTAATGTTATTAAATCTCAGATCCAAGAGGAAAGTCCTTGGCCGTAAAGATTCAGAGGATGATCACACCAGAAACCATTCTCCCTCCCCGCCAGTGACGCCCACCGGTGCCGCCCCCAGCCTGGCCTCCCCAAAGCAGGTGGGATCGATTCAGAGAAGTGTCCGCAAGAGCAGCACCAGCAGTGACAACTTCAAAGCTCTGCTGCTGAAAAAGGGGAGTCGGTCAGACACCGGTGCCCGCATGTCTGCAGCCGAGATGCTCAAGAACACAGACCCTAGGTTCCAGAGGTCAAGGTCGGAGCCCGCGCCAGATGCTCCCGACAGCCCGTCCAGCTGTTCCCCGAGCAAGAACAGAAGGGCCCAGGAGGAGTGGGCCAGGAACGAAGGCTTGATGCCTCGGAGTCTGTCCTTTTCCGGCCCCAGGTACGGCCGTAGTCGAACCCCACCTTCCGCAGCCAGCAGCAGGTACAGCCTGCGGAACCGGATCCAGAGCAGCCCCATGACCGTCATCTCGGAAGGCGAAGGGGAGGCCACGGAGCCTGTGGACACCAGGGCTCGCCGTGTCCTGGGCGCTGCAAGGGGCTGTTCCCTGGACGGACTGGTGGGGGATGACATGGATGGGGGCAGCCTGCAATGTGGCCCCGCAGATGGGACAACCGGTGCCCAGGGCAGGGGCCCGTCGGAACAGTGCGAGGGTCCTCTGAGGGAAGCAAGTTAGGGGCAAGAATGGGATCTCCCAGGTGACGTGGGGGAGATGCACAACCCATCGCTCTAGGAAGCCCGAGGAGCCCTTCCCTGTCTGCCCAGGGATCCCACCCGTGTGTGTGCTGTGGACCCGGGCACTGCCTTGCCTGCAGTGGATGAGGGTCACTTAGGACTCACTTGGCACTTGCCCTGTGGCTTAAAAGCAAGTAGAAGCTTAACTTCTGAAAGTGCTTCCTGGGGAAGATTTTTCTTTTTTTTTTTTTTTTTTGGTTAAATGTTGGGTGTGTGTGAATAGGTGTGTATGTGTGCATTTTGAACACTTTTTATGTTTTAAGAAAAATACACAGACACACAGCATGTACAGATATATGAGGAGAAAAAGACACAGGTAGAGTAATGGAAGCTTCTGGACTAGGTGGCGATGCTTTGAAAGTATGTGTGGAAATGAGTGCGTTCCAGAAGGGAGAGGACTGTGACTTCGAGAATGAGGTGGTAGATTTGCTGGTTCTGAGTGCACAGAACGCATGGGTATAGGCACAGGTGTGCTTTCGTGGTTAACCCGAACGGTGGGGAAAGGGCTAAGTGACTAATGGGTTCAGGTACTTTTTTCTGGGGGAAAAAAGGCTTTGTTTCTTTTTTGTAAAAATGACAAACATGTGGAAGGGACAGCGCTGTAGTCGGAGCCTGCTGCTGTGCAGCCACAGACACAACTCTCAGCCCGATTGTTAGAAACGTGGGTAATTTTTTAATGAATTTCCTCCTTTATAGCGGGGACCTTCGAGAACTGAAATGAGGGTGTGCACATGCAGAGAGGGTGAGAGAAGGCAGAGGAGCGAGTGATACACTGCTGCAATTTGTTTCCTGCTTATGAAATAAACTTATTTTTCAGAATGAAATTTGAAAACTTGCACTACAGAACTGTGGGTGGAGCTTTTCCTTGTACAACTGTTTTTACCAGAGTTTAAACGTCCATTTGGCAATTTCTTATCACTTGAAACGTCAACATTTGCTAACTTTTGGATATCCTTTTGGTTACACCAAAGAAAAAGTTATGGCTATTTTTCCTTGAACTGCCTGCAGTATCATATCCTCACTGAGAAAGGTTTATCGAAATCTATTATATATTATCTTACTTTGACGAAAATGCTGAATAGCTCTTGTTAGTCTAATAAACTGATAAAAATTGGTAGGGCTTGGTAATGAATTAGCCCTGGGAAATGAGTTTTTAGATTAAAAAGATTTTTTTTGCATCACGTGGTTTGTGTGTTTTTATATTTTTTATAAATAATTGAGTTAGGTAATTACCTTCCAATCTTTTTTCAGTTAGAATGTTAACACTTTTAGACATGGGAAAACGTGTGTAAAGTATTTATTTTTATGTCATGTTCTTGTGACCCCTCCCCCCCACGCCCTCCTGGTTGCCATGTACTTTATTTGTTGGTGAAATAAAATCGGAGTCTTGTCTTCTTCATTAGAGGGACCTACGGTGGCAACACTGAGATGTTTGAATTACATACAAGACAGCTGCCTAATGTCATCTTCCCTGATGTGAAAATATCATCTCAAAGTTGGACCGCACAGGCCAAATCATCATAATGTTCAGATACCCACTTTAGACACATCTTTGAGACAAAAAAAAACACAAGAAAACCAACCCTAAAGAATTAAGGCTACTTCCATTCTCTGAAAAAAACAAAAAAACACTTTGTTTCACACAACAGAAATCAAGACCCGACATTTGGCCAAAAGCAAAGGATTTTTTTACCTGTTGGAGCAATTGTCTACTACATTGGGAACAAGGAATTTTTTTCTTCTTAATTTTAGAAAAGTAGTGTTGGCTTTTGCATATGAAATCTCATAGATACCTAGAAAAGATTAGAATGTACATGGCTATCAGAGAACTTTAACTTAATATACAAATCAAATATGTTGAGGATAAGATAAGCAACGTCAACACTAATTATAAAACTATTTTTTAAAAACCCCATTTTTAGCCCTAACCGGTTTGGCTCAGTGGATAGAGCGTCGGCCTGCGGACTGAAAGGTCCCAGGTTCAATTCCGGTTAAGGGCATGTACCTTGGTTGCTGGCACATCTCCAGTGGGAGGTGTGCAGGAGGCAGCTGATAAATGTTTCTAACTCTCTATCCCTCTCCCTTCCTCTCTGTAAAAAATCAATAAAATATTTTTTTTAAAAACCCTTTTTTAAAGGAAAATATATTAGGTTTTTAAATTTGCTTTGAATAAAACAATTGCAAAGGAACTATTTGAACATTATTTCTTTTGTGAGTACGTGGGTTTTTGAGTAATGTGCAGAGCTGCTGAGTGCTTTGCTGGATGCAAACAGAAGAGCAGTGAAGACCAGACGGTGCCCGTGGGAGGTGGGACCCAACAGAGAGGAGTTAGAACATCCCAGACTCTGGATTGTGCCATCTCAAAGGACATCCGGAAAAACAACTCTAAACGATGTCCCAGGGACTTTTGAATAAAATACGAATAATGTATTGACTAATAATACAGATGATGTGATGTGGAGCGATGCAAGAATGGCGTCCAGGCATGGATGACATACAGGGAAACAAGAATCTAGATTCCTTCCTGAACCATAGGGCATCTTTAGTTTTACTGCTATATTCCTCAGGGCCAGCTACAGTTAACGGATCAGATCATACTAAAAAATGAGGGTAGACTTGACCATTCCTTCTACCCTGAGACCTTAAGTGCCAGATTGTCATAGACAGAAGCCCCAGGCCTAAATGATTTCCACTGTAGTTTTTCTAAAAGTTGGGGAGAGAAAGAAGGCTGTCCATTGGAAGCAACCTCAACTTTGGTCTGATTTCTGCCCTCCTGTTTCTGAAGAATATTGATTGAAACCATTGCTTCTCGTGTGTGGATGAGTCTATGTGTTTATGGAGAATCACAATGATAAGAAAGAAAGGTGGTGTTTCTGTATCTCTATCTTACTCCCCACCCACCACCACACCCAGCTCTGGTGGCCTCCTGGGAGGACAGGTGAACCTGGAGACTGGCTTTATTGGGTCTGTCTTAATGTGTTTTCTGTCCATTAGGTGAATATGAATAATTATGTGTATTGCTGAGATTCTGTCATGAGATGAACAAGGTAGGATGCTTTACTTTGGCAGCTATTAGGATATTGCTGAGGGGGGGGGCGGTGAGTTTTGGATAAAGCATGGACCTGATTTTTGAGGTCTCCTTTTTCTGTAATAAGCTATTGAGTTACTATAATCTAGTTTCTTTCAGTGAGTTGCTTTAAACTACCTTCCACACAGGCCCACCTTTAGTTACAGAACAAAGACTAGAGCACATCTGTAGTGTGTGTTCAGCAATGAAGAAAAAAAAAGCCCTTTATTAAATACATCTCATGTCCTAGATGAGGATGAGGAAGTTCTAAGATAGAAAAATGTGGATGAGATATCATTAAGGAACTTCAAACCTAGTGAAGAGAGGCATCAACAAAGGGCTATCCTGTAAAACAGATCAGTGTGGGAGCAGAGGAAAGGGAAGAACATTCAGGGCAAATCCTGCTGGGACCCCAGCCGGCATGTGTTCTCTTTACGAACAGAACACCTGGAATTGGTTCAGGCTGGCGACGCACCCAGTTGGCATACCAGACCCCTCGCCCCCACTGTTGTCTGGGAAGTTGCTTTCCTCATGCAGGTGCTATCCCTCTTGTGGCTTCCTTCCCCTCTTCTCCCTAGAGCGGATGGGAAGCTGGAGGAGGAACAGTGCTCTTGCAAACTGAAGCACCAATAAGGATGGAAGCCACAGGGTGTGGAAGGCAGAGGAGCCTGGTCCAGTGAGAACACCTTGGGCTGTCCACCTCCAGGCTCACTGGGTAAGTATTTTTCACTGACTTTGCAGGTGAGAGAGATCGTTCTCAGAGGAAGATGTCATGGCTCCTGACTAAGAGGATGGGGAAGGCATTGGCTGTGGTGAACCTGAGCTAAGACTTCACAGATGAGGAGGATCTCACCACGCATAGGGAGTTGGCAGAAGAAAGTCATTCCAGACTGAAGAAATAACCTGAGCAAGGACACAGAGGCAAAGTGTTTAGAGGAAGCCGTGTAGCTAAAAGAAGTCTCTAGTAAAATAGAGTGGGACATGATACTAGAATGGTCACCTGGAGTAAGAATGTAGAGGGCCTGGGATGTCATTTTAAAAAATTAGGATTTGTTTTGTAGTACTGGGGAGTAACAAAGGTTTTTAAGAAGAGGAATGATGTAACTTGGCTTGGTTCTTAGCCTTGTTTACAAGCTACACATTCCATTGGTGGGTTGTGGTCAGAGTGATTAGAGTGTGTGGAGAGGGAGAGCCTGACTAGGAAAGGAAAGGGGCTAATCGGTGGAGCACGAATTAGCCCAACAGCAAAGGTAGAAGGTTTAGCTTAAGCAAAAGTCTAGACATGAATTTCCTACAGATACGAGAATAAAAATCTCAAAAGAAAAGTTGACATAAGGGATACGTTGTAATCATGCCACCTTCATCATTAGAATAGCTGACTCACTGCCATGAAAATTACTCTCGGATTGATCAATTCAGGGCTGGAAAATGTTTTGGTTTGTGCATTGTGGGAGAGGAAGGGAAAATGGGATACCTGGACTTTAGTATGAAATTGATTTTTTATTGAACATGTTTCAGATTCCAACAATATCTGAGTGACCAGGAATATGCTTATGTAAAGTGGGATTTATTGCATAAGAGATGCCTATTTTATATAGGACTGTAGGGGAAGTGTTAGAAATAGTTACCTCTTACCAATAGAGGCTGGCATTGTGGACATTCGTCAGGAGGGCTAGAAGGTAGTCTCTAGTTGGGGATGGTAAATGAGTTAAAAAAGAATTTTTGTGTCTTTTTGGCAAGCAAACATACAAAGAATCAATAGTCAATGTAAACAGATACCTTTGGAAAATAATTGCCTGGGATTTTAAAATTTATACCCATAATAATTCCAGAACCAGAAATCTAGCTTGTTTTCTATCAAAAATTACAGTCTAAAAGGTATGTCTGAAGTTATCATCATAATGATTATGCATATAATATGCAAGAACACCTCCAGACAGTCCTAGCCCACTCTTGACCGCTACCTGCCAGTGGGGCATAGCGGTTTAACAGCATGGACCGAGGAGTCAGCTGCCTGGGCTCCAATCAGCCTCCGTCCTTAGTTTCATCTGAGGCATGTGACCTAACATCTGTGCCTCAGTGTCCTCATCTGTAAAACAGATGATGCAACGTGGCACATAGCATCATCTGTTTTGAATTTGGTAATTCAGGTAAAGCACTTGGGATGATACACCTAGAAGACAATCCATAGCTAACTGTAGGTATGTTAGTCGATTGTATCCAGATTAGGGAGATCAATTTTAAGAGATAGTATATGATGTTGGGGTTGAAGGGACCTTAAACAACCTCTGGCCCCACCCTCCCAACCATTGGATACTCAGATCTCCTATGTAAATGATCATGTGGTCCCCACTTAAACCACCCAGTGCTGGGAAATGGAACAAGTGTCATTCATGGGCAGCTCTAATTATTGGAAGTTACTAAGGTCCAACTTGCAACCGCCATCCCCCAGGATCCCACAGCAAAGCTAATGCCCTCCCCTCAAACAGGCTTCTAGGCACCTGAATGTGACATCTTCCCAGGACAAGCAGTTTCCAACACAGGTGATAATGTCAACCTCCTTGATTTTGGGGCATCCCAGTCTTTTATTAGTCATTTTTACATGACCTCCAGAGAGACTACATGAAATCATTTAAAAATTCAAGTAATTTTAAAATTATATGTTTGTATACATTTGTTCAGGAAAAACATACCTTTACTGAATATCAAAATTGGATAGGAAGTCCCTAATCTTATAAGTTTAATCTTTGCCACAAAATATTATCAAAACGTTTGGGTACTCTGTGAGTTTGGGCAGATGGGGAGAAGAAATCAACAGAATGTAATAGCGGCTGCAAAAGACAGTTCAATTCTTTGTGTCCAACCCTAACTTCACCTCTCTAAGCTGGACAGTCCAGTAGTGCCACACAAGGTAAATCTTTAACATTTTTATTGCTACTGTCTGGAGGGGATAACATCCAATTGACACGGATCCAGTAGAAAAAAGCAACATGATTATGATACAGAGAAGAAGGGGAAGTAACATGGTATTTCTCTGGAGCCTCACAGAACTAAAGACCACCAGGACTATGACCATTTCCATGCTCATAGAATGTTGTCCCCTATTATCTGTGTATCTTGATAAAGCTTCAAGCATTAAAAAGGCACATTGGAAATAGGCTCAAGTCATATGTGTACTCTCAAGGAGAAGATACTAGACACACATTTTACTTCTAGGTGTGTTGATGTCTATATTAAAGCTCAGCCCCTGGCGATGCTATTTCTTTTCATTTTCTCATTCATTTTCTTTGGAGGGTTCATTTTTCTGAATCAACCACACTTCATTATTTCTATTAAGCAAATTGAAAGGACTGTTGTAGCCTGCAGTGTAGTAAACCTTTTCATCGAAAACTTTTCCTTCTTCCCTCAAAACGCTTGCTAATGTCAAAAGTTGTTCTTGATTCTTTTGGGCGCTAGAGAATCCATCGAAAGACCTACAAAGGAGAACGTAGATAACCATGAATGGTTTTAGTACCGACGCTGTCAGTCTGAAAAGAAAAGCAGGAGCTGATACAGTGAAGTTGGATAAAGCCGAGTTTCAAAGCTCCACCTGCTCAGCCCCTGAACCCAGCATTCCTTTCCTCTAGTTCCCAGTCTCAGTGTCACCTCCGCACACACAGGAAGGAGCACCAGGAGCAGGGATCCGGCCCAGCTGTTGGCAGGTAGATACAGAATTCACACTTCCCGTCCTCTAACTCTGCTTCTCAAACTTCAACGTGCACACGAACCTTGCTAACATGCAGATTCAGGAGGTCTGGGAGGGGGTCTGAGAGTCTATGGTTTCTAACTAGCTCCCAATGCTGCTGCTGCTGGCCAGAGGACCACACTGAAAGTCACTCTTCACACTTCCCGTCCTCTAACTCTGCTTCTCAAACTTTAATGTGCACACGAACCTTGCTAACATGCAGATTCAGAAGGTCTGGGAGGGGGTCTGAGAGTCTGTACGGTTTCTAACTAGCTCCCAATGCTGCTGCTGCTGCTGGCCAGAGGACCACACTGAAAGCCACTTAGAAGCCTCCCTTCCAGACTTGAAATTTTCTCTAGAACATTTTGCCTTTCTTCCTCTCCTTGGGCAAAGGACAGGCACTAATTGATGGATGAATATAATGTAGTTTTGACCCTATTGACTTACAGTCTGAAGCAAGAGACAAGCATTTTGGTAGCTCCCTCTCTATAGCTTGGGAAGAGATTTAACAGAGACAGGACCAAAGTGCATAGGGACACTGAGTACAAGATTAAATCAAGATCAGGGCTGTGAACTGAGTTGGGTCTGGAATGTAGAGTGTTTTGCTGGGCAGAGAAAGGGGAGGGATACGAAAAAGAACAGAAGTCGCAAACTGCAAAGTGTTTTCACAGTGAGGCACAGCGTGGGCTCAGGAAGGTGCGGCTCAGCCGGAAGGAAAAACCTTGTATATCATCATCCTAAGACCTTTGGAGATTATTCTTAAAAGGATGTTTGAGCAGAAAAGTAACTTGGTCAGATCTGAGTGAGATACATGGGAGGTTTGGGGATGGGAAAAAACAGACAGCCAAAATATTTAAATTAAAAAGAAAAGCAGGAGCTGGGAAAGTGAGGAAAAAGCTCTGGCCAGTGTGGCTCAGTTGGTTGGGCGTCATCCTGTGCACTGAGAGGTGGCCTGTTCAATTCCGGGTCAGGGCACATACGTGGGTTTTGGGCTCAATCCCCAGTAAGGGGATGGGGGGCGGGGGGTGCAGGAGGCAGCCTACCAATTGTTTCTCTCTCTCCCTCTCACTTACTTTCTCTTTCTCTAAAATCAATAAAAACATATTTTTTAAAAGATTTTTTTAAGTGGGGAAAAAGAATAAAATTTAAAGCATAGATTTTAAAGTAAAGAAGCAAAAATATCCTGAGATTAAATCCTGACAGGACACAGAATTAGCTGAGTTGCTGACATGTAAACATGATGAATTTGATTTTGAAGGTTAAGAATAGGAAACACAGGGAACCAAATATGTTCCTAATACCCCTTCTTTAGCGTAAGTTTTATTATCAGTGTGCCAATGGAAAGGATCAGTCCTACCCTTCTTCAGATAAGATGTAAGCTCTCAAGGGTACAAACCAAACATGTCTATTTTACTCAACAATGTCGGGCACCTAGAATCATTCCTGGCATGCAGTATCGTTTAAATCCTTGTTGAATAAGTGTAGGAATCTATGTGCACACCTGTATATAAAACATTGAAGATAAATTGATAAAACTGTTCTATAATTTTCAGCATGTTGACTGATAATAATTCTGAATCACGCGTTAAGAAATATTTTGTCTTTTAAATTGTTATTTTCTTTAATAATAGCCAACTCTCGGTATGTTCTGCCTACAGGAAATTTGTTTTCAGGTCCTACTTCTTCGGTGAAATCAAATCTTGAGGCCCCTAATTAGAAGTCACCTTCTGTTCTCTAAATATATATTGTTCTACAATGATTTATCCATGCTCTATTCCGTACACAAACACACCAAGCCTCCCCCAACACACCTACCTTGCTTGGAGCTGAAGGATATGGACAGAGAAAGTTATCCCAGCCTAGGTGCCATTCTAAGTCCTAGAGCAGCGGTTCTCAACCTGTGGGTCGCGACCCCTTTGGGGGTCGAACAACCCTTTCACAGGGGTCGCCTAAGACCACCGGAAAACACATATGTAATTACATATTGTTTTTGTGATTAATCACTATGCTTTAATTATGTTCAATTTGTAACAATGAAAATACATTCTGCATATCAGATATTTACATTACGATTCATAACAGTAGCAAAATTACAGTTATGAAGTAGCAACGAAAATAATTTTATGGTTGGGGGTCACCACAACATGAGGAACTGTATTAAAGGATCACGGCATTAGGAAGGTTGAGAACCACTGTCCTAGAGGATGGCCGTGGGCTCTCCAAAAAGAGAAGAAAGAGGAAGCTAGAACTAGTAGTCATGCCATGTTCTAAGTATTTTATGTACAGTCACTTGTTTAATCATGGCAACCCTATGAATTAGGTAGGTGCTTTATGATTATACACAGTTTCCAAATGCAGAGATTTGGACAAAGGAAGTCTAGGAACTTGGCTGATATCAAAGGTAAAGAGCTGTGGAAGAACATTGCCTGCTCAGGGAAGAGTGGGAACGTCAATGGAACACGAGTTGGGGAGACAGGGTCGGGACACATTATAAAAGGCGCTGTGTGCAATGTGAATGAACAACCCAAATTTCACCCTAAAGCAGTGGTTCTCAACCTGTGAGTCGCGACCCTTTTGGCGGTTGAACGACCCTTTCACAGGGGTCGCCTAAGACCATTCTGCATATCAGATATTTACATTACGATTCATAACAGCAGCAACATTACAGTTATGAAGTAGCAACGAAAATAATTTTATGGTTGGGTCACAACATGAGGAACTGTATTTAAAGGGCCAGAAGGTTGAGAACCACTGCCCTAAAGCAAGAAGAAACCAACAAAGACTTGAATGGAGTAACAGGTTGGGGCTTTTGTTGCCGTTGTCATAAGAAAAGCACGAGTTCCTTGGGGGGCAAGAGAGGAAGAGACCGGTGGGCACGGAGAGGAGCTGGGAGGCTACTGAAGTGGAATAGTCAAGATCTGAGATCAGTAGACATGGGAGTCTCTACCTTGTCAGGCACTGTGTTCAGCAAAGTATGACTTAGGTGTGGGCCTCGTAACCATGAGGAAGTAACCATGAGGATGGAGAGATGGGAGCAGAATCACGATCCTTTCTGAGGGGAAGGGGCCAGATCTGGAGACCAGTTGTCAGGGAAGAGCGTGCGGGTGATGGCCATGGAGGTCCTTGCTCGGGAGGCTGTCAGGATGCGGAGGCCCTTTACTGACACAGGCGCTGTAAGTTCCTGCCCACGCAGGCTGGGAATCGGGGAAAGGCTTGTTTTTAGAGCTGTTCCGTTTGAGCCCCACCCCTATCCCACATGGAAATGTCCAACAAGTAGGGAACTCGGGCTGGAGACATTAAATTTGAGAGTCATTAGACACAGATATTTGAGGCATTGTGAACAGATCACCCAGAGCAATCCTGCTATGACATGAGCATCAATAACAGGCATCAACAGTGATTCTTAGGGTGAGGAGTGGACGAGGAGGAGAGGAATGACAACACAGCAACACTCTGAGTTATAGGATGGACAAGTATCAGGGAACAGACTGGTCAGCACGCAAAGGCTGCAGGGGACCCTGGGAAGGGACTGTTATGTAACAAATGGAGGTGCACTGTGGAAGGTGGCAAGAGCAGTTCCATGGAGATGGTGTGGGCTGTAGCAGACGGTGGTGATTTGAGGTGTACGTGGGAGGTGAGGAAGCAGAGACACAGATTCCTGTAACAGGTTGGTGGTAAAAGGAGGGAGAGAAAGGGACTAATAAAGGGACTCCAACATGAGACTATTATCATGTACTGTGATAAAATTTCAACGGAGAATTTAATACAAGAAATGAGTGCAGCAGGTATTAGAATTCTGAAAAAGTGAAAACGAACCCGTAAACTAGCAGAGGGAATAACCTCAGGAGGCAGCAGCCATCCCTTGTGCTGGGGAACAAAAGGAAAGAGTTTGGGGTTATCAGGACCTAGAAGTTGGGAGTTAAGGTATTGTTGTTTGGGCTTAACTAGATGGCAGGTAAGCTAAGCGTATGCTTTTGGGGGGAGGGGGAATAATTTGCATTGCGTCTGCTTTGTGGAAGGTATGCAACAGACTCTGCATTAACTGAATTGATTAGATTTTGCAACAGACCCTTGGTAACCTAGATAAAATAAGCCAGTGGGAAAACGCCACAAAAGTGCATTAGGCCTGTTTTTGTGGAAGGGTGAAAAGCCTACTGAAATTGCATCAGCGCTAAACAGAGTGCAGGACAGTGAAACTAGCAGTCAGCAGGGCTATAAATTACCTACCACTTACCGCACAAACACAGTCATTGCGGCTCTGTCTTCAATGAAGACATCTGACTCTGAAGGCCTCGGCGGATCAGATTGCTGCTCGGAGGGGATATACAGGGAGATGGTAATGGTAGACTCGCTAAAAGGACCCGAACCCGGCTCCACGTAGCTCATCACTGGAGCTGTCATCTTTATTTTCATCTCTGTGCCATAAAAATATACATATTTAAACACAAAGGAGACCGTGAAAGCAAAGGTAGGGAATTTAGCACCACTTTTTAAACTTCACCTATTATTTTGTGATCTGAGTGTCTCGATTTACTTTATGCTATTGGCGTAAATACAGGGAAAGGCAAAAGTAGTGTTACAGTTGTGAGTATGCAAAACAGAGTTTATTCTTGTATTAATGACTAATTATTGTATTATTTTCCATGCAAACAACTGTAATCTTACTTTTGCCCCACCCTGTATTTACCTTTAAGATAATTTCCATCGTTAAAAAGTAAGACCAAAATGACTCAATTATCCACTGCCCACAGTAAGCGCTTTCTGTACTATTAATATTTTTGGTTACTGAATTCTAAAGGTTTAGGGACAGCAGGGAAGATCAGAGGTCACATCGTCCAGTCACTCTTTATTTTTACAATTCAGAAGCTGAAGCCCCATTGGCCAAGTGACCTACTGGAATATGAATAACCTCAGAGCCAGAACCAGGGGCTCAGTATGGAGACTCTGGATCTTGTGTTCCTCCTCCTGACCTGCCTCCTGGTGTCTCTCACCCACCAGTCCAGCATCAGCCATAAAAGGGCCTTAACACTAGTGACAGAGGAACACAGTCAAGGATGAGGGGCTGAAAAAAACAGTAAGTCTTTGTTGACCTGGTTATTTTTCTATTCTAAATTGTATTGCTTTCATAAGCTAAAACTCGAGAATAAGCCCGGGGACTCAACCACCAAATACAATTACAAGGAAAACTGCCTTCACCTTTCTCGTTTTTGCCTTGAACGTAGCTGGTCAGCCTGGAAAAGCCAGTCTGGACGGCAGAATCCCAGTCCCTTGACTCCACGGAGGTGCTGACCCACTTGGCTGGTCCATAGTGTCGGATCTCGTAACTTTCGGGCTAAAAATGGGACAGAAAGCCATTCTAAAAAGGCAGGGCGCGAGGTGCAACAGTACCGGGCCCTGGACTCGGGTCCTGTTTAGGGGCTGCGCCCCACTTGGGTCCGGCCGCAGGTTCGGGCTCCTTAGGGCCGGGCAGGGCCCCTCCCCCTCGGCTCCCATCCTGCGGTTCTGCGCTTTTTCAGCCCAGGCCCGAACACCGGGCTGCGGGGGTGGGCCGAGGGGTGGGGGATGGGAATGGGAAGTCAGCCCAACCGGAGTTAAGAACAAGCATCTGTAAGGGCCCCACCTCGGGCTGTGGGACAAGGTTGATTCATTTTTCCCCGCCCGCAAAGCAAAGGAATTGAGAGGTGGCCAGTACCTGGGGCTGGGGCTCACCGACAGGATCTTCCCGTTTGTTCAGGGCTCAGACCATTTTAAAACTGTACTTTCCCCTTAAGTATGTGGGACTCGCCGGCCTCACCACAAATCAGCTCGAAGACGACCTCCCCAGCCCCCCGGCCCGGCCCGGCCCGCAGCCTTCC